GGCGAGAATACGAAGCAAATTTTGTAATGTGGGAAGGGAAAAATGTGCTCTTCCCTGCTGTGTTGTTGTAAGCGTCGTAATAAGCTCTTTTCTTATAGAAAATGTTGCGAGAAATATTTAAAGTAATAAACATTTGCATTAGATAACATACAATTTTTAAATATTTTATCGATAAATGAAACAAGCTACATCAAGATGACAAATCAAATTTCTATTTTTGTACTTCGTTAGTCGAAGTTTTAGCCTACTTTCTATTTATAACATTGTCTATGTCGATAATTCAGTTCTCCAAGTCTTGTAATATCGTTGTAAATTCATGTATCTATTGCAGGCATAATATCTACTAATAATAACACTTGGAAACTTATAAAGATATAATGCAAAAAACAAGATTAAAAATTAACACCATAAATCGTATTAAAAAATACATAAAGAGAAAAATAGACTTTCCTAAATTTTTACAATTACATAATAATTACGTAATTATTAATGATATGTCTCTATTTTTATGGAAATATTTTTACATATATACTTTTATAACACATGAAAAGGAATAAGGAATAATATTAGAAGATGTGAAATAAATAACAACGAGAGAAGAATATACGAAAATAGAAAATGTATTGTACAAAACTTATACATATACAATTATTATATTTAAACATTTTATTTTCGTAATTTGCATTAGCAACAATGTTGTTAAATCGATAACTGTTTAAATAACGATGTCAATTAGACATTATGTATAAAATATATTGAGTAAGTTGTTCTTTGTAACAAAATTAATTTCAATCTTTACTTGGGTCTTCCACAGCCAATAATTGCTAATTAATCAAATAAAACTCCGAGTTTTAGTATGATAGTAATTGGCGATCTCGAATCAATTCGTTGTTGTAAAATGTAAACAAACGATGTTTATCTCAATGATTCATTTATAAACTCAGATTTTGTTGCGGTGAAAAATAAAAATCTTATTCGGCGAAATACACATATTAAAATTCATAAATTATCTTAATATCGCTAGTCAAATAATCAAAGAATCATTGGAAATAATGTAATCGACCAAAACTAGCCAAAATTTTATTTATCTATTACGACGTTTCGAGCATATGGTTGTGGTCCTTTTCAAGTATACACTGGAAAATATGAAATTGATAATTAGATTTTCAACGGTTTTTTTTTTGAATAGACAGTACCACACACATTAAATGTGAACAATTTAAGTACATATAGATCAAATAATAGATATAAGTCATAGTTTTGTAAAACTTCACAAATCACAATTGCAAGATCATTACATCAACTTTGAAAACGAAAGATAAAACGATGTGTCAGTGTGAGACTTCGTCAAAGAACTGAATATGTTAAATAAAAAATAATGAATTACACGACCTTTATTATTTTGTCTTTATTATTTTGTCTTTATTATTTAGATGTTATTTAAACTACCCGTGTCCTTCTATAGGTTGATTAAATTATTGAATTTCTTAATATAAAACCTTTCAGCAATTTCTCTCTTTCGTACATATTTTTCATTGTGTAATATATTAGGTTTCGATCAGTCAAATTCATATCCAGATTTCAATCTATGTTTACTTATGACGGAATGATTCGTTTCATGCAATTTTATATTACTAAAATTCTCTTTCACTCGAGTAGATGTCTTTTTGTTTGTTCAATATACACTACAATATACATTATAACATACATATATACATTACAACACACATTATAATTTTTACAGTTTAATTTATATACAACATTTGTTTTATCGTTATTATGTAAAATATCCTTACCGTGTTTTATTAAAGTATTTAGTTTCTTTGTTATTTTATAGACGACGTTAAAGTTACTGCCTCGTAATAAACGGCACAAGTCGTGACTCACATCTTCAACATATGGCAATGAAATAAAAAATGTCCTGTAAAATGGCAATGAAATAAAAAATGTGTAAGATTTGCGTCAACAGTATTGATTGTGGTCAATCATCGATTATTTAAAAAAATCTTGCAACGATCTTGCAACTGTGACTTGTGAAGTTTTACAAAACTATGACTTATAATTAGATGTATTATTTGATCTGTATGTACTCAAATTGTTCACATTTAATGTGTACTGTCTATTCAAACCGTTGAAAACCTAATTATCAATTTCATATTCCAGTGTACTTGAAAAGGACCACAACTATATGGTCGAAACGTCGTAATAAATAAATAAAGTTTTGGCTAGTTTTGGTCGATCGCATTATTTCCAATGATCCTTTGACACATATTAAAGTTACTTTAATTCAATAATTAAATCTTTCTCTTGTTATTTTACGTAAAAGAGCTCCGAAATAAAACGTTTATAGTATGTGTTTATAGCTTATGTTACGTAGTCTAAATATACATATATATATATATATATATATGTATATATATATATATATATGTATATATATATATATATGTATATATATATATATATATATATATATAAAAAAATACAAATTATATATAAAAAAATTATATATAAAATATATGTAAAAAAGATATAAAAAGATACAAACTTCTAATAAACTACAAGTCTAATATATATAAAAAAATACAAAAAGATTTTAAACATTGACATCTGATCATCAATATATTCAGATGTCAAAAATCCTCTTATTTTGTTCAATTATCGAGAAATTCGAATAACAAAAACTTTTGGATATGATATTACATGCTAAAAATTAAAACATGTTCTCGGAATATAAAAACATAAACATTATTTGTTTTTATGATGGGTTGACTCGAGATCATCGATCGCTGGAATGGGGACTGATTGTTAACATGTAACGATACTTGTAATGTTAGTTAGTCGCTAATCCTTGGCCGAAGAGGTTCGACATACAACAAAGTGAACGATATAATGAGTGTGCTTTGATTTTAAAGCGCGTAGATCGATGCTTAACAAGCTCGTGTTAATTCTGATATCATTACAACATTTTTTTCAATAAAACAAACCTTTAAGAAATTAAATTGCTTTTACAATAATTAGAATAAAACTCTTCTGTTTAAATACAATTAAAATAAGTAAACCAGATAAATAAAAGCGCAACAATAACAAATGTAAAAATAATATAATATTACTAATAAAATTATAATACTAGTAATAAAATTTCAATTTATTTAATATCATAATCATTTTGATTCTCTTCGAGCCTACTTTCAGTAGGTTAACAATCTGGAGATTTAACATGAATAACATGAGTAACAAATATCAATATTATAAGAGTATATGAAATGCAATCATCATACTTTGTGAGAATGTTAATTATTATAAAAGTTTTAAAAATTAAAAGTTACAAAAATAAAATTTACAAATTAATGTTAAACACTAGTTAAACTTTTTTTTAATCGATAAATATTGTAACAAATTGGTATCGTTCTGCAAGTTTAAATTATATTTTTTTGTCTCTTAATATGATTCATTTCTGAAATCAATCTTTCTTCAAATTGTAAGTTAAATTAATTAAATAAAGAAAATAATTCGGATCTCTTAATAGTTGCACTATTGCATGAATAATTTTTAATTAGATATTATTATGTGCTCTGTTCATGTCGTAATAAATTATCTTAATTTTCTTATCATATAGATATATATGATACATTTATGATAGTAAATGTAAGCATTTTCAACGTAAAAAACAAGAGAAAAAGAGAGAGAGAAAGAAATTTAAGAACGTAACAAATAATTAACTACTCGATTATGAAATTGACCGCTCATCGTTCGGACGTTCATAATATTCATAATTTATATTATTTTCTCAGATTATTACCTTTTTGTATTGCAGAAGATCAAAACGTTTATGATTATGATATTAAATGAGGTGAAATTTTATTAGTAATATTATATTATTTGCGCCTGTTACACACTGTTGCGCAGAATTGGGAAGTAACATCCGTTACCGTTACTTTTTTTCGGTAATGATCATTATCATTTTCTGCCTGTAACGGTAACATTTTTACAATAATGATAATGAATTTAACTGTTTTACTTTTAATCATTTAATTATCTCTATTTAAATCAGCATAAGCAGATTTGTTATATTGAATATACATAATTACATAATAAATGCTTATCGATAATTTAATTTTACAGGATTAATGATAAAAATCAATTATTAGCTTAGTTATAACAGTGTGAGTATATTCAACAACACGATTGCTCACTAATTGTTAATGGCTAAGTAGCAATGTGATTGGTTGATTCAAAGATAAAAATTAATCAATTTTATTGCTCTTTAGTCGTTATAAATAAAAATATATATGATATTAATAACGCAATCGTAATTCTGTAATTCCCGATATCTTCAAAATCGAAAAATTTTAATATTAAAAAGTAAGCAAAAAATAACAGAACGTTACTTTCTTAGAAACAGTAACGAGTTATAATAAATTTTTCAAAATTGATAACGAGAAATGGTAATAAATTTTTACGAAAGATAACAGTAACGGTTATTGATACGTTACTTTTTTTAAATAACGTTCCCAATTCTGCTATTGCACTTTGATTGTTTTTTTTTCGCACGGTTTATTTATTTAAATTGCTTTTAATATGTATATTAAATCTAAATATTTATTATTTATATACGATTTCAATAATATTATAGTAAAAAGTTATGTAAATATTATTTTTTTGCGCTTCCAAAACTATGTTACTTTACTTTCACTATACATTCAACAATATTTCGTAGACAACAATTTCAGATATTTTCACTTTACACAAAATATAAAATATATACAAAACATAACGTTTTATAAAATATATAACAAATATAAAATAAAAAACTATAAAAAAATCATTTTAGATCATTAAAATCAAAATAAATTAGAACAACAAATGATTGAAAGCGCAAATTTCCAATAATAAATACACATAGAACAAAATGTGATAAAATTTACATTACAAAGGAAGTTTTTTTCTTGTTACGAAGGAAGAATTGTAAATTAATCCTTCTCTGTCGATTCGGTAGTCTCCATTTTTTTTTTTATGAATTTAAATAATGCAAGACATCTAAAATATTCTTCTTTTCTTTAGATATCTAATATGATTCTTTAGACGCCTTACATGCCTACTATTTAAATCATGCTATCATTTATGATCACGTTAATTCTCCACTTGAGTAGCCGTCAGCTCGTCATATTGTACAGACGGTACCATAGGCGGCTTGAAGCCATACTCCATCTTCGATTGCCTGAAGCTTCCGGGATATTGTATTTCCGGCTGCCTGGATCTCCTCAGGGCGAGAGTAGACGCTGTCGACGACTTTGTTTTGTTATGCGAGGTCTTACGCGGGGGCGCGAGGCCTACGTACACGTTGTCCTTGTTTCTCTCCACCAGATTGTACACAATCTGCTGTCGGAAGGGTACCACCGTGTATGTCGGCGACGCGACCGCCTGCGGCCGCAGCACTACGTGGCTATTGTATTTCCTCGGCAGTATCATCAATTTAACATCGGTAAACGGGACGTAGCTCTTGCCGACGTCGATATTGTAATCGTACGTCACCGGCCTGCCGTAAGGAGGGACGCCGAGGGACGCGTTCGTCCCGATCTGCGGCTCGAAGGCGGCGGAATCGCCGCCGCGAGGATTCCCGGAAGCTGGCTTCTGTCGATACTTGGCTTGAACATCGTTGAGTTTGCTCGGGTCGATCGAGCCGCCGCTGTCGATCGGTCCCTCCGCCTCCGGGAGATACGGTCGAGGAGAGGGTAATCGTGCGAGGGTCGTTGGCTTTTCCGTTGGTAGTCGCACTGATGGATGATAAGAGGAAACGGGCTGCACCAGCAGCCGCTGAACCATGTACGGCACCCTCTTCTCGACTAGCCGCTCCACGTGGACGGGATAGACGTGCGGCACGCGTATCTGTTTCTCGACCACCGGCGCGTGCACGTGGTACAGCTGGGGCACCTGCACCCGTTTTTCGACCACCCGCTCCACCAGGTATGGCACTTTCCTCTCGACCTCGATCGGGTGCGGCACGTGAACCGTCTTCTCGATCGGATAGGGTCGCGAGATCGGCACCACGAAACCGCCGTTGGTGGACGAACCGTCGGGAATGATCTTGAGAAGGAGCTGCGACACTTCTGGTCGTCTCACATCCGGCGTTCGGAACTGATGATCGATTATCGGCTGCTGATTCGACTGCTGCTGCTGATTCGACTGCTGCTGTTGCTGTTGCTCGGATCGATACGTTTCGCTTGCTGATTCCTGCCTCGTAGTACCTGCATAAGTGAGGACCTTTGTAGCCTGCAATGACGCGCTGCCATCATCCTTGAAGCTATGTCGCACGTTGGATGACTGATCGTACGATGTGTCATCGAACTGATTCGGTACAAGTAGAATCGGCCGCACGTCGTTATACTTGTACGGTTGCAATTCGACAGAAGTCTCGATAGGTGATTGCTGGCGGACGCTTGTCGGGTATTCGGCGATCAAAGTCGAGGCCGTTGGTTTACCAAGGTTATCCTCGAGGGCATTGTATTGGTTAGGTCGGATGGATTTCTGCTCAGACGCCTTAATGACGCTCTGCTCGGTACCTGGAACAGAAATACTCGGGTATATCAACGTGTTGTCTACCGCATTCCTCTCTCACGGGTGAAACTTGCAATTTGCGATGCGTGCTCCGATCCGTAAAATGCGCGCGTATTATTACGCGCATTATACGGGCGAGCATTAATTTCGACGTTGCGTGTTAACTAAGCTAGAACTTGCGTAATACAAATGTCGGTTCTTATCCGCGAACGAAAGTTAATATTTCTTCGAAATGTATTAGCAAGGTTTTTCAATTTTATGGACCGGATAATTGAATACAGTGACTAAGAGAATTAAATTAATAAATAAAAATTAATTAAGAAATAAAAATAGAAAGTACGCGTATTCTTTCGACATCAATTTTTGCAATATTTATTACAATTTTAAACGCTGCGATTAAAATATGATTTTTTTTTAATATCGACTACTTGTATTGTATATCTTACATTGAGAAAAAAATCTGATTGCATTAATTAGAATTCTGGTAGATTCAACCAGTATGTCTGTTGGAAAATGGACGAACCAGAATTCTTGTAGGAATTATCAAATAATTCTGATTAATTTCTTCCTATTAAATTTACCAAATTTTCTCGTTAATAATACTAAACTTAGCAGCACCAAATCGTCTACAATTTTTTCCATCTAATTTCTAAAGTCTGTTTAATATTCTGAATTCCAACACGATTATTGCATAAATTCAATCAAGATTATTGAATAAATTATTTTAAATTCAGTTTATTAAAATTAAACCTGATAAACAGTGCACTGAGAAAAAAATCTGGTTGCATTAATTAGAATTCTGGTAGATTTAACCAGTATGTCTGTTGGAAAATGGACGAACCAGAATTCTTGTAGGAATTATCAAATAATTCTGATTAATTTCTTCCTATTAAATTTACCAAATTTTCTCGTTAATAATACTAAACTTAGCAGCACCAAATCGTCTACAATTTTTTCCATCTAATTTCTAAAGTCTGTTTAATATTCTGAATTCCAACACGATTATTGCATAAATTCAATCAAGATTATTGAATAAATTATTTTAAATTCAGTTTATTAAAATTAAACCTGATAAACAGTGCACTGAGAAAAAAATCTGGTTGCATTAATTAGAATTCTGGTAGATTCAACCAGTATGTCTGTTAGAAAATGGACGAACCAGAATTCTTGTAGGAATTACCAGATGATTCTGATTAATTTCTTCCTGTTAAATTCACTAAATTTTCTCGTTAATAATACTAAACTCAGCAGCATCAAGTCGTCTAAAATTTTTTCCATCTAATTTCAAAAGTCTGTTTAATATTCTGAATTCTAACACGATTATTGCATAAATTCAATCAAGATTATTGAATAAATTATTTTAAATTCTGTTTGTTAAAATTAAACATGATAAACAGTGCACTGAGAAAAAAATCTGGTTGCATTAATTAGAATTCTGATTCTAGATTCAATCAGTATGTCTGTTGGAAAATGGACGAATTAGAATTCTTGTAGGAATTACCAGATGATTCTGATTAATTTCTTTCTGTTAAATTTACCAAATTTTCTCGTTAATAATACTAAACTCAGCAGCATCAAATCGTCTAAAATTTTTTCCATCTAATTTCAAAAGTCTGTTTAATATTCTGAATTCTAACACGATTATTGCATAAATATCACTTTACATTCGATACGAGTAAACGATTATTGCATAAATATCACTTTTCATTTGATACGAGTAAAATTAGTATCGATACCTTTTGTTTCGATTCAAGTAAGTATCGAAAGAAAATGGTGATATTGAATATGAGTACTTGTAAGGCTATGTTTTGGCAACATCACAAAGAACTTGTCCATACTAAAAAGAAAAGGAAGAGTAACAAGGAAAGTAACGAGCTTTCTTTGTATTCGAGTGGCCCTGTTTGCAACTTAAAATCAAATCCGCTCGAGAAATGGGAAGATGAAATATGTTTTCCCATCGCTTTATAAACAGATCATTTTGGTCATGGTCGCGTCTTCAGTTCCTTGCCAACGGTTATTTTCCAAGGCGGGGATAATAGTTTGTAAACTCGAAATCGACTTAGCAGTAAGCATTTACAAAAATTGATATTTTTGAGTGGCCTTCCTGAAAAAGAATTTTTCAATTAAATTTTATCATATACATAATTCAACTGAAAAATTCTTTATTATATGTTTGTTTAGTAAACTTTATTTAATTAAATTTATATAATTGTTTTATTTAATTCCCTTAGTGATCCAGCATAAATTTTAGAAAGTACTCATTTGATACGATACGAGTAAACATCGATACTTTGCATTCAATACTCTACAGGTATCGATACCCTGATTTGAGTAGTAATGAGTAATGATATCGATACTTCACTGATATCGAATCAACCCTATTAACTTCTTCCTGTTAAATTTACCAAATTTTCTGGTTAATAATACTAAACCCGCCAGCACCAAGTCGACTAAAATTTTTTCCATCTAATCGCAAAAGTCTGTTTAATATTTTGAATTCAAACAAGATTATTGGATAAATTCAATCTAGATTATTGAATAAAAAATTATATAAATATAAATTATTTTCAGTTCAGTTTATTAGAAATTAAACTGATAAACAGTGATGCAAGAAGAGGATGCAGCTCAAATACACACAATCAGAGAGCTAGCATCCTTTTTCTGGCATTACTGCTCGTAAAAGAAAAAAAATATACTTTGGATTTAATGTTAATACTAGTTCTTTATATACATTTCATGGCAAATATTGAATACGAGTTAAGTTAAGAGTAGCTCGCCGTCTAATGGCAAGCAAAGAAATTAATGTAACAAGAAATTTTATAGATCCAACCAGAAAATACTAATCAAATCCTTATAGTAAAATCTGTTAAACATTCTAGTTATAAAAAAATCGAGTCTTATCAAGATAACTAGAAATTCTTGTTTGATTTCACCAAAATGCCTTCAATCATATACGTCTTGTTAATACAATCAAACGATTTTTCTCAGTGTACATATAAATTATTTATTAATTTAAATAGGAAAAAAACATAAAGCATCAATCGACGAAGGGAGAAATCGATGTAACATTACCTCGATAGATATCGTAATTCGACCGTGACTCTGATTGTTCGTCCTGACCATATAGCTGGTTCGATCTCCCGATATTGTTTGTATCGATGACACCGAGATTGGAGGTCTGCTGGATGTACACCGGAGGATAATGGATCTCGTGCACCGGCGCAGTATGATAAATCTCGACGGACTTTTGAATTTCGACAGAATTGTCGGATACTTTTTGCGTGACGGCCTCAGTCGACTTCTGTTCCTCTCTCTTGCCTTGAGAACTCTCATCCTTATAATCGATCCGCGATCGATTTTCGACGTTGCTCTCGACAAACTTTTTGTCCACCGACAAACGCTGCAGATCGTCCTGGGGATAATCCTGGAGGTAGTCTTTGGTGTCTGTTGCGGCAGATTGCTCGCTGTCGTCCATCGAACCGATCTCGTCGGCGTTCATCAGAGCGATCCCGACTTGCAGCGGGTTCAGCACGATCGAGGAAGTCTGTATGACATTTGAAATCGATCTGGAGCCTTCCGCGTAGTTTTCTGGCGTAATTTCAGAGTCCTCGATTGATCTAAACGCCCCGGCATCGCTATCATCCAAATAATCAACCATCATCTCTGAAGTCTCTTTATCAACCAGATCAGGTACTACGATGGGACCTGAAAATTTCATTGACTGCAACGAAGGATTAATTTCCACGGACGTCGATGATGACACTCGCACGATGCTCTTCTCGACGGATTCCGCAGACCTCTCCGTCACTTTGTCCGCAGTATTGTTGTACGCTCGGGACGACCTCACTTGTGGGGTCTGAAAATTTTCGGGCACGACATCGTTTTCATCTATAATCGAAGCGACATCGGTTTCCACTGGTGCCGACGACACTTTTGTCGTGGTTTCGACATTGAAAATTTCCTCGGAATTGTACATTTTCGGATCATCAGAGTCCTTGAAAGATGTCGAATCACTTCCTTTCTTCAACGCGAACACGTAAGGCTCCGACGTGACGGACATGTAAGCTTGACGGTCCCCGTCCTCAGGTGACGACACAGTGCTGCCGAAGGGCTTCCGAATACTCGAGTACTCGTCATCCTTTCGACTTTTGTCATCGACAGGCCGAACGGTATTCCTGTTGCTCGGATGACCCTGCCTCACCCTCTGTCCAAAACTGCCGGCATGCTGGACGAGAAGGACCTCTTCTGGCGCGATGTATCCAAATTCGCGACTTCGCTCTTTAAACGAATCATCGATCGTTTCGGCGAGCGGCGTCGCATAGATCGCTTCCGGTGTGGAAGAATCACTCGCAAAAATGCCATTCGAGCCTTTCTCATCGGCGCGAATTACCGATTCAAGCGAATCGGCCTCAGGATAATCCTCGGTGCTCGCCTGCTCGGAACTCCTCGCTTCTATATCCGTCGCATGAAACCGCGTTATTTGCTTCTCCGTGTCAACAACCTGAAAAATGAGTCGGTTAAAGGGGCCGTCCAGAAAATTTGCGGTTACTCGGGATAATTTCACTGCGAAAGCTACGTTGAGAAACTGCAGAACTGTATTCCTCGCAGAATCCCATGGAAGCATTAATCATATTATTTTGCAACTATTTCGCGGAATGTATGTAATCAATTTTATGAAAGGATTGGATAAAACAGGATATTTGAATCAGATATTTCATTTATATAATTTTTAATTTATATATTTTAGTATCATCAATAATTTTTTGTGTTTCTAGATTTGTCGATTTACACATTAATGTTAAATCGAATAAATTTATCGAGCACATATCCCTTTCTCAAGGGATGATTGTTTTAAAAATAAATGTTACACATTTTGTGTTTAAAATATTTATATATATATTTGCAGAACGATTGTTTTAAAAATAAATTTTACACATTTTGTGTTTAAAATATTTATATATATATTTGCAGAACTGTAGCGAAACGAGGAATAAAATTAATCAAAAGGCTGCAGATTAGAAATCGATAATAAAACGTGCACATTGAGTTAGAAATTAGCAAGAACTGTGTTAAATACGTTTATATATAAATCGTTATTTCCCTTTCACTCTTCGGAGCTTTTTAAATGCGAATGGTAATGGGATTCGCGGAGGAGAAACGAAATCATCGAGATCATCCGGTGTTGATGATTTCGTTTCAATCACAATTGTCTCGTCTTCTGCTCATATTCAAAATTATTCTTATGAGAATATTAAAATGTAATTATAACGTAAATAATGCACCAAAAAATCGAATTATTATTTCATAAGTAATTTTAATTGTATTTAATTATATTCGACTTTAAAATATCTCGTTAAAGATGTTTTGTACCTATTTTCAAAATATTGAGAATTTAATGAAAATTGTACAGAATGTCCTTATATGTTTAGAATCTTCAGTACAATTTTTAAATCGATTCACTAAAGCGTTCACAAGTTATAAGGATTTTAATTTGCACCGAATTAATATGTGTTCTTATGGGAAACGTATAACCACGTCGATTCAAATGACAAAAACACATGGAAATAATATTCAGAATTTGTTTAAAATTTGCAAAAGTTTAGATACAGAGGAAATATTTGATCAAATAATATTACACAAGTATTAACTGGTTAAAAAAATTAAATATTAAATATAATTTAATGAAGTTAGCCATGTATCTGTCACAAGGTGAAATTTGCTCTGCCAAAAGTTAATCATTTCGATTAACAAAATTCGGAATATTTCCGTAAAAACGCAATAAATATTAAAAAATACATCTCTGCAGCTAAGATCAAATTCTAATATTCCACAATTTCTCATACTCAAAATACATCGAAAGTGGATATTTGTCAATATTAATTTTCAGCTACTTTTTGCTGAAATTGTACATACAAAATATTCTTAAGCAATCTTTCTCATCCGGTCACGTTGAACTTACGATTATTTTTTCTGTTAATGTATCTTCGCATCGATGCTCGACTCGATGAGACGAAACGAGATTCGCGATCGTATCCTGGCGCTGCGGATTTCCAAATGGAGCAAATCGTGATGACCCAGAAGATATTTTGTGGAGGAAGAAAGGCGCGAAGAGTATAGCGGCAAAAATCAATGACGAACGAGTATCGACTATTGAGAGACAACAATGTCGGCACACTTTTTCACGAGCGAAAAATAACTCACCGGCGAAATCTCCATGCGTTCCACTTTGGTAACTAAATTTACATCACCTTATACATAGACGCGTACAGAGTGTTAACAATGATTGATAAGACGAGAAAGATTATTAAGAAGCTAATTATAACGAGCTTCCTCGAAACTGTGGCGTTTAATAAAGAATCGCGAATGGAAATCTCATAATTGAGAGAAATAATTAGCCAGTAAGTTTCCTTGAAGAAAGAGAGTTCAAAAACGAAAGCCGCAGATATAACTAACATTTAGCCTCCCGAAGAATTTGCTGGATACGTCCATCGACATCGGGAGACGGAAGCAGCCCGTTCTCGAAAAGAATGCACACGGGCACACCCCGTGTTGCAAAAAGAAGAACGGCATCCCGTCACGGAGGCTGAAAATAACGCACCTTAGACGTTATAGACGTTGCGCGAGATGAGAGAAAGGTGCAGTTACGGTATTCGAGCCACCGAGCTCCCTTTCTCCCGTACCGAGCGAAAAGAGAGGAGAAACGGGAAAGATGCGTCGCATTCTTGCACCACGCGCGCGCGCGCGCGCAAAAGAAAAACCAGTGAGAGTCGCGTATAAATCCCGATGGTCCAGCGAGAACGAACGGAGCATGCTGATATGTCCTCAATCTCATCTCGCCGATCGGCGAGGTCCTTTACTTTCCTTTTACTTGCCGAAACTGCCATGTTTTTCTCTTTCTCTTTCTCTCTCGCGGAGTTTATGTGCTTTTAATTGGAGATTTCGACGCGTGGCAAAGACATAAGACGCAAATTCATAAGATTCACTTCAAATATAAAGAGTTGTTTTTTTCTCTCAAATGGATATCTTATACAGGGTGACCCATTTTAACTTAGGCAGCCAAATAACTCGAAAAATAAGCACACTACGAAAAAATGGTTAGAATCAAAATTTCGTCATTTCGAGGGGGACGTACAATGACGTTAAAATCAGCCCCCCCACCCCTCCCCTTGGGCGGTGAGGGGGGGCAAGTTTGAAATCTTAAATGGAACCGCCCATTTTTCATTGCATATTCTTGTAGCTTATCTCGAGATCTTTCCAAAACACTATAATTAAGTACCTTTTTATTAAGTACTTTTTGAGTTATAAGGCTTAAAATAATTTCTTAATTTTACATAAACCATAAAATATCTAGTAAACCATTCATTTTTCGATTATCTTACCTTCATACTTTTATGTACAAAATAATGAGAGGAATCAATTGGTGTAAAGAAAACATACAGTTGTTTTTAAGAAAAAATATGGAATTGTTAATTGCAAATTACATATTTTTTCTTAGAAACAACTATGTGTTTTCTTTACACCAATTGATTCCTCTCATTATTTTGTACATAAAAGTATGAAGGTAAGATAATCGAAAAATGAATGGTTTACTAGATATTTTATGGTTTATGTAAAATTAAGAAATTATTTCAAGCCTTATAACTCAAAAAGTACTTAATAAAAAGGTACTTAATTATAGTGTTTTGGAAAGCTCTCGAGATAAGCTACAAGAATATGCAATGAAAAATAGGGGGTTCCATTTAAGATTTCAAACTTGCCCCCCCTCACCGCCCAGAGAGGGGTGGGGAGGCTGATTTTAACGTCATTGTACGTCCCCCTCGAAATGATGAAATTTTGATTCTAACCATTTTTTCGTAGTGTGCTTATTTTTCGAGTTATTTGGCTGCCTAAGTTAAAATGGGTCATCCTGTATAAATTGTGAATTTACTTTGTCGTTTTACATCGAAAATTCTTTAGCGATAATTACATTTCTAAAAATTTCTAATTCAATTAACAGCTTTGTCGAATAAATGTTAAGTAAGATCTATTTGGAATTAACTAGGGAAAATAAGATTTTGTTGTTTTTTTTTTTTTACATTTGTAAAAAGTTCAATTTGGAATTTATGAATCCTAATCAAGATAAATAATTTTTGATAAATAACTTTTAAGTAACATTATTTTTATAATGGAAAATTATATTATTATATTATACATACATGAATATGTACAAAATTGTAATATCGTACTTTTAAAGGCTCGTGTTTCCTTCCGGAATATATTTTAATGTGTCTTTCATATGTGACCTGATTTGCATGATGTTTTTAACGCACTGGGAATTTTTTTTGCACGCGTTACGGATCTGTAATAGCGCATGGATGCGTAAATATTATGGATAAATCAAGAGATAACCGACTGCGTATTTACCGTTCGGCTCGTTCGACACGGATATAGAGAGAGAAGTGGTGCATCGAAATAAATAATAACGAAGCAGTGCTACTTTGTAGCGGCAAATGTGCCAATAAAGAAACGATCGTAAATTTGTCGGAGGCAATAAATAGGTTTCTACGGTTGAAGCGAGCGTGGCCTTACCTTTCCAGTGTGGTACATGATTGATATATATGAAACACGTCGAAAACAACTTTCTCCGGGCATTGTTTCGCCGTAACGACGGAATAAATATCGACCCGCATCACATTAAGCAAAAATCCTTTGTTTCGAATAATATTGCAAGGAATGCATCCCACAATACAATAATAATGCACGAGCAAGGTCTCAATTTATTTGTTCATCGCCTTTTTATCGAGAGATGAGAACATCGACAAAATAAAAATTATAAAATAATAAACATAAACATAATAATAATAATAATTAGTAATAATTATAATAATAAATAATAATAATAATAATTAATAATAATTAATAATAATAATTATTATAAATAATAATAATAATTAATAATAATTATAAACATAAACATAATAATAATAATAATTATGTATTAATAAACAGAATTTCTGGCTAGTTTGGTCGACTACACTTTTTTCAACGATCCATCGACAAAATAAGTTGGAATTACAGGATTTTCGCGATCTACAAATATATTTGAAATTCTTTTCGAAAAAAGCCGAGAAGATTGATAGATCGAAACCGAAATTTTCCTCAGTCTCCGGATAATGAGATCAAATCGTGATCGTCAATCGATTCGTCTCTCCTGAGTTGCGTGACATTGTGTAACACGTTTGCGCGACGATGCATCCCATCGAAACGAACAGCAATCATCGCCGGGGGAACGAATTTACGTCCGCGTGTGGCCACTTTCACTGGCGAGTTTCCTTTTTAACACGAGGAAAATGTGTGCGCTCCCCGTCGTATTGGTCACCGTGCGTTTTACCTTGCCCGTGACAGCGTTCCGCTGGAATTAATTCAACCCCGAGGTATTTGTCTAGCTTGCGTCAATTTCACCCGTACATACTAATGCTCGATTAATCCGCTCGCCGGAACGCGACTTGCGCTTACACGTCACGCGGAATCGTGCATTTTCACCGTTTATTCCTAAGCGGTATGAAGCGTTTGACTTCGCGTGACAGAGTACAAAGGAAACTGAACAACTTGCACATTACTATTAAGAGAGCATTTACCTTTAAGCAAAGCGAAGAAGATCGATATTTATATGGTTATCTCAAAAAACTAATATTTAGATAAAAAAATGTTAAGAAATAAATCTATATTTTTTGCTGCAAGTTTTATTATAGTTTATTACATTTATTATTATTGTAGATTTTAATTTGCAATTATTATTGTTGTAGATTTTATATTATTATTGTATTATTATATTATTATTTATTATTGTATTATTATATTATTATTTATTATTGTATTTATTATATTATTATTGATTTTATATTATTATTGTAGATTTTAATTTGCAATTTATAAGAAAATTAGTAATTTTATCCATAGCTTTAAATTATACAATATGCAAAAATAGACTCCAATTTTATGTAAGAATTTTATAATGTTTGAAGCTCATATATTTTTTTCATCTGTTTTTATTTGTGATAGAATTTTTTATTGGCTTTTATTTTATCTTTAAAGTTATATACAGGGCGTTCTTTGCGACAAAATTCATAAACTTTTAAAATGCATTATAGAGTTCATTTTAAGCAAAAAATTAATAAGTGTCAAAAATAGAAAATAGCTGGTAATTTTAGTAGAGTACAAGAAAAAGATAAAAATTTTTCTGTTTTTTTTATTATTATATTAAAAAATACTTAATTTCTCAATTATACACTTTGAATGAGGCAGAATCGAATCGTGTCAGAAATTTACATTTCTGACAAGAATTAATTTCTTTATATCTTGATGAGCTGAACCAAAAAAATAATTAATTAAAATAAGAGAGACTGATCTATATTATATTTGAACTTTTTTTTGCTTGTAATGACCTCTAAATAATTTTAGAGTTTTATCCTATATACATACAATTATGTTATTTTTTTATTTTTAAATTTATTTTATATTATATATTTTCATATAATATTCCGTGTTTTTATATAAATATAAAGTTAATAAAAAATTATAATGTTATAAAATATCTAAATAAATAAGTCTAGCTTCCTGCGAATAAATTCTTGGTAGGAAATGCGAATGAAAGTTCGAACATGAAAATGTGAAAATTCTCAGTGTATGCAAATGAAAAATGTACGCAAAGGTATTCGACTTTCTTGAGACTACAGTTTTCTCTGCGATGGTTAAATTTCAACAAAATATAAATATATCAATTACATCGGTGTAACTTCCTTTAATTTTAAGAGAAAGTAAAGTATATGCTCCTTTTATAACATATTTATATTATATTATATTATTTATAGTCTATTATATTCATACCGAGACATTTAAAGTTTTGAATTATATTTTCCTTCGTAATACTATAATATTTTACATTATTCTAATATAATAAACTGATTAAGTGATTTGCACACAAATGTGAATAACGTGAAAAAGGTTACACGCTCTCTGCTTTTTTCCGACATATTCGCGTCTCCCAAGTTGCGCGTTTCAGAATTGGCGTTTTTAAGCAAGGTGGGAATCGCGTGGTCAATGAACGGTCTCGTTTGGCACGATATATCGGCCGTAGAATTACACGATCGCGTTGTTTGCAAGTGAAAATGTTCTCTTTCTCTCTCTGTTCCCCTAGAAGCACCAGGGACCGGAGTTCATCCGGTCTATGTGCTACCAGCTCCCAGCTGTAATTCATCTCGGTCTGTCGTGCCTATACGTAAAGTAGCACTTGAATGATGCACCGCAAGTAGATCGAGGTTAAAGATTTCTATGCCCCAAGGTTAAGGATGTTTGTAAGCATCTCGATTCTCTCAAGCTCTAGGGCCTGTCAAGGCCTCCGGGGATACAGCTGTTGCTTAAAAAAAGAAATCTTTTTCGACCACTTTCATTCGCGTATTCCATCAAGTGACTCTCTCCGCTCGATATCGGAATTATCGAACTAGATCCTAATTGCAGATTGTATTTTTGACTATATGGCCCCTTAAAATTGTTCTCTTTAAAATTGTTGACTATATGGCCCTTTAAATTGTTGACTATATGGCCCTTTAAAATTGTTCTCTTGACTTTATATTGAAATTTGGAAAAAATCGAATATCGATTTGAAGAAGATAAAGATAGGATTTACATCAATTTATCTTTTTTTTACATTTTTAAGAGATTCATATAAGAATAACAAATGGATCATTTGCTTCGTATTTTAAATGAATTTGTAATCACGGATAAAAAAATTGCAATCATCTATACATTTCTTGTTTTATATTGCATTATTATAGATTAGTAAAATGTTAAATTTAATTTATGTTGATGAATTTTATATATAATAATTTTGCATTAATGAGATTCATGCAGTGCTCTACGCTATTTTTTAAAATGTGCATTATATTTCCTGAATTTACCTTCTCGTCACTTAAATTTTCGACGTTGGATTCCGAGAATACTGTTATTATTGCCGCCCATATGATAACAGCAACCTGTAAAAGGAACGAGCATGATATACTAATTATTTGTATATTTTGATATCCTTCAAAATTAACAAAAGAAGTTTCATTAATTATTTTAAAACGTTAGATTCAATTAAATATATTTTTATTATGCTTTATTAATTTTATATAAAACTTTATTTTTCCGTATCTCTTCTCCTAAGAATAGAATGCATCACAAATTTCATTCACTCATTAAAATTACTATTGTTTATTACATATATGTCTATTTCAGATGCAAATATATGCGTCGTCAGTCAAATGCGAAAGAAAGGCACGCATGTAAAACCGATGAAACTCACAGTGTAGAGTCGCATATCTTCTGCCTTAACGCATTAATGAGCGAGAGTCTTCTTTCACGTTGCTTTCCCGCCGTCGATTTCCGGGGTGTCCTCTCTTAGCTCCCTTAGCTGTATATCCTGCAAGACGTCCGTACCCGAAGCGCGCACTACGCTACGAGACAGTGTACTACTTGATCCGAACGCGATACAGTTGACTTAAGCCGAAGCTCCAGTTATCCCCACGCGAGACGGACGATCCGACAAGTCGGCCGCTTAGCGAGCCACCTACAAGTCAAATCCCTCCAGCATCTTCGTGTCGCTTACCTGGCAGTCTCCTGGAGGAAGCCGGGAGTGGGGCGATGAGAACCATCGAAGAGGAAACCAGGTATGGAGGATAAATGAAAAGGAAGATGCACTTCACGAGCTTGTTCCGCGATTAAACGGTGGAAATTAATTCCCTGATCATCTAAAACCAGGAATTCCTTCTCGAATGAAGTGGACCCTTACCGAGATCTTCTTATAGAAATTTGATGTTTTGCACGCTTGCGTGAGAGTAAGCTTGATATTATTTCGAAAGATAAATTTAACGATTTGCCTTTTTTACAGAAAAATTATCACACGCCAGATATAATCGGTTTTCATTGTCTTATGATCAACAGTAGCGGAACGCGAGGTCGTGAAAGTGACATTGGCCGCACGTAGAGGGAACTTTAATGACTCTCTTTCTCAATTTTCCTCTCCTTTATTCTCAAATATCATACGTGCCGTACTTTTTATATTTACGACGCTTAATTTCACTGGAGCAATTCAATTGATTTTCGAATAATTTTAACAGAAAGATAAAAATCACCCATTTAAAAAGATTTATGAATGAAGAAGAATATATAAAATACATACTTGTAAAAGAAAAAAATTGTTTTCAAATAGAAAATTATAAATATTATCTTGAAAAATATTCTTCCGCTCTTTTCGAAATTTGTTACTTGAATTTAAAAAAAAATTAACAACAATAATTATAGAGCTCCACATTTTAAGATTATATTTATAAATATGATATTGAAGTAATAAAAAAAATGTAAAGAAATATATAACAACGTTATATGCTATAGAAGAAAGATATTGATAAGCAAATAATTTAAAAACGAAACTATTTTGTTATATTGTTTATGATATGCAATACTTTTATACTTTTTCATACATAAATAGTTAAAAACTTAAATTAGAGTGTGAGAGCATTCGAAATTGTTTGAAAAAAAAGTTTGAATCCTTATTAACAACTACGGCTTTAATTCGCCAAAACTCTTGGAATGTCTTTAATTTAAATCACCAGACGATCAATTCGCAATAAATTTAAAACAGAAATGTTATTTATAACTTTATGTATTGCGTAATAGAAAAAAAATATGAAATACAAAATACACACATATGTCAGAGTTCATATACACAGGATGTCTTATGATTTGACAATAAGAGCGTGTTTTTAAAACTGAAATTATTTAATAAATTAAAACATAAATTTATAAATGCTTCCTAACAGAACGACAATATTGAAAGTTGATGTGAATATTTGAAAAAGAAAAAAAAATAGACATTATTTTAACTTGTTTGTTTACACACACAAGTATATAATAAATTTTCGTCAAAATTATACAGGGTGACCCATTTTAACTTAGGCAGCCAAATAACTCGAAAAATAAGCACACTACGAAAAAATGGTTAGAATCAAAATTTCGTCATTTCGAGGGGGACGTACAATGACGTTAAAATCAGCCCCCCCCACCCCTCCCCCTGGGCGGCAAGTTTGAAATCTTAAATGGAACCCCCTATTTTTCATTGCATATTCTTGTAGCTTATCTCGAGAGCTTTCCAAAACACTATAATTAAGTACCTTTTTATTAAGTACTTTTTGAGTTATAAGGCTTAAAATAATTTCTTAATTTTACATAAACCATTCATTTTTCGATTATCTTACCTTCATTCTTTTATGTACAAAATAATGAGAGGAATCAATTGGTGTAAAGAAAACATACAGTTGTTTTTAAGAAAAAATATGGAATTGTTAATTGCAAATTACATATTTTTTCTTAGAAACAACTATGTGTTTTCTTTACACCAATTGATTCCTCTCATTATTTTGTACATAAAAGTATGAAGGTAAGATAATCGAAAAATGAATGGTTTACTAGATATTTTATGGTTTATGTAAAATTAAGAAATTATTTCAAGCCTTATAACTCAAAAAGTACTTAATAAAAAGGTACTTAATTATAGTGTTTTGGAAAGCTCTCGAGATAAGCTACAAGAATATGCAATGAAAAATAGGGGGTTCCATTTAAGATTTCAAACTTGCCCCCCCTCACCGCCCAGGGAGGGGTGGGGGGGCTGATTTTAACGTCATTGTACGTCCCCCTCGAAATGACGAAATTTTGATTCTAATCATTTTTTCGTAGTGTGCTTATTTTTCGAGTTATTTGGCTGCCTAAGTTAAAATGGGTCACCCTGTATATCTTCTACAGATTCAATATAAAGTCTTGTAATGTATTGTCCTAAAAGTGGTCTAACAATTCGCCTCATCATGGCAGGAGAATTTCTTATTTGCGTTACTGCATCTATAATTCTGTTCACAAGTTCATCCCTATTGCAAGATTATTCTACATACAACTGTTCATTTCATGTTTATAAACAGTACCAGATTAGTAAAAAATGTTTCAAATATTCACATCAACTTTTAATAATTATAGTCCTATTAGCAAGCATTTACTGACATATGTTTATTAAACAATTTCAACTCTAAATGACTTCAATAACTTTAATGAATGGATTTCGAGTCATGAGACATCCTATACAGGGTCTACCAAAAGTGTGGAAACCCCTAAATATCTCGGAAAATATACGTTTTACAGAAAAGTGTTTCCAACAAAAGTTGTAGGGTTTAAGAAGATCTATATACTGATTCTATCAGTTTGACCTTGGATGGCGTCGTCAAGGTCAGGTCAAGGTCACATTGACTTTTTTAAATGACACCCCCTACATTTGATTGCATATTCTTATAGCTTAATTCAAGAGCTTTCCAAAACACTATAATAATGTTCATTTTTATTAAGTACTTTGCGAGTTATGAGGGTTGAATGATAGAGTAGCGCCGGTATTAACATTATCCAAGGTGTACTACATGGAGGTTACTCGCTCGGATTTGCATCTGTTGTGTGTGTGATCCAGCTAACTAAGGCAAGATCGATTCCTCAACATATCCTCATATTTCGCTGAAGTCAAATTGCCAAAAAATTGCTCCATAAAACGTGTATGAAACGTCTCGTTAGTTCCTTCATTTACCGCTATGTGACGCACTACATGCAGTCTAACTCGCATTTAAAATTCAACTAAGAATGTATAAAGCTATCAAAGAACGAGCACCTTCTGACTTCAGCTTTGAGCAAGCAGAAATTAATTGTTATCGTCCAAATACAACGTACGATTAATTAAAATTAAACGTTTTAAAAATGGCTGGCGACTTGTCGGAACGTGAAAGAATCACTATCCTCATGATGCGTGGATGGGGTGATAACGAAAGATCGTTCTCTGATGTCGTTCGATTATTTAATGACACGTATCCGAACCGTCGAATTAATAAGTCCACTGTGTTAAAAACAATAGAACGTTTTAGACAAACTGGTAGCGTAAGAAATCGCTCTAAGTCAGGAAGACCATTGTCTGCAACCAACGAAGAAAAACAACTTGATGTTCTGCAGACATTTATTGAAGATCCCAATTCTAGTGTTCAGAGAGTCGCTCAAACTCACGATATTGCTCCCATGTCGGTTTGGAGAATTTTAAAGAAGAACAAGTTCCATCCATATAAATTGCAATACGTTCAAGAATTGCAAAACGGAGATGAGGAGCGTCGTATACATTTCTGTGAAAGAATGATGGCACTAATAGATGTCCGGCCCATCTTCCCTTATCAAATTGTTTTCACAGACGAGGCAACTTTTACCTTAACGGGAGAAGTTAATAATCAAAATTTTCGTTTCTGGTCAGATGAGAATCCGAATTGGGTGCGGGAAACTCACACACAACATCCACAAAAAATAAATGTATGGTGCGGAATAATAGATGGCTATTTAATAGGGCCGTTTTTTTTTGAAGAATATTTGAACGCTCAAAGGTATGAGAGATTACTTGTTGATCAAATAATTCCAGCCATACAGAATACTTTTCCAAATAATTTCCAAGAAATATGGTTTCAGCATGATGGAGCTCCTGCTCATTTTGGTGCAGGACCACGTCGTATTTTAAATGAGACTTTTCCGCTACGGTGGATAGGAAGAAGGAACGGAAATGAGGGAGGAGAGGATTGGCCACCTCGGTCACCAGATCTAACTCCTCTTGATTATTATCTATGGGGATATCTGAAGAGTAAGGTTTACAGAACAAAACCTAAAACCATTCACGAATTGATACAGCGAATAAGGGATGAAATGGCTTTGATACCTTTTGAAACGAATCGTAAAGTCATTTCTACATTCTACCAAAGATTAGCATATTGTCAGGAAGTAAATGGCAGCCACTTTCAGCATTTACTTTAACACATTGAAACACATTTGCAATCGTTTGGTGCAACCTAACCTGATCTCTGTATACACGCACCGCACGCACGCACACGCACACATTTCGAACAATTATTATGATAAATGAGCATCCACAAATTTATTTACTGTTTACTATGTCGATTGCTTTCCAGGTCTTTAAATGCTCGATTGTAATTTGGTTGGGTCTTTGCTTTTGCTGACTGGATCCACGACCGATCTTGCCTTAGTTAGCTGGATCACACACACAACAGATGCAAATCCGAGCGAGTAACCTCCATGTAGTACACCTTGGATAATGTTAATACCGGCGCTACTCTATCATTCAACCCTCATAACTCGCAAAGTACTTAATAAAAATGAACATTATTATAGTGTTTTGGAAAGCTCTTGAATTAAGCTATAAGAATATGCAATCAAATGTAGGGGGTGTCATTTAAAAAAGTCAATGTGACCTTGACCTGACCTTGACGACGCCATCCAAGGTCAAACTGATAGAATCAGTATATAGATCTTCTTAAACCCTACAACTTTTGTTGGAAACACTTTTCTGTAAAACGTATATTTTCCGAGA